TGCCTCAGCCTCCCAAGATGCTGGGATTACAGGCATTTGCCACCGTGTCTGGCAGCTTTTACTTGGCTTCTCATTCTATTGCATGTGAACTTGAAGGAGGAAAATAAGAGGCAAAATGGAGGTTTAGTACAAATCTGTACCTCCTCTCCACTTCTCGACCCACTGTTAGAACCACCCAACCAGCTTGCCAAGTCTTCCTCTGTAAATCCAGACTGAGCTGAGGTGCTGCCGGCAGCCATTCAGCTGAGCCATGTAGCCATGACAAACGACACTGTGCCAGCCATCCAACCTGAGAGTGTGCCATAGTTTCTCTTTCATCTGAGTTGACTTAATTCGGATTATATTTGGAGTTACAAATGCTTTCTTCCAGTCAAAATATAAACTTCTTTAAAGTTTATGGTGTTTGTGGGTGCCTGACACAAAAGGCTCTCCGGTGAATATCATATCTGTTGAGAATATTTCTCCTGATTTATGCTTTCGCTTTTGTAGTTATAGATGAACAGAATGCCTTTATTTTATTTATTTTTATGTGGTGCTATGGATCGAACCCAGTGCCTCACACATGCTAGGCAAGCGCTCTACCACTGATCTATAGCCCAGCCCTTGGTTTACAGTTTTTGACAAAGAAGAATCTAAATTTTTGTTCAGTCAAATCTATGGATTTTTCCCTATACCCATTTTTTTTCCCAAGGGGGTTGTGCTGGGGTTAGAACCCCAGGGTGCTTTACCACTGAGCTACTTCTCCAGACCTTTTTAATTTTGAGTTTGAGATGAGGCCTCACTAAATTGCTGAGGCTGGCCTTTAACTTGTGATCCTCCTGCCTCAGCCTCCTGATTCACTGGGATTACAGGCCACCACACCTAGATTTATTTCTTTTTTTAATTAATAGAAAATTCTTTCCCACCCACAGATGAGTTAGTCACCTATGTTTTTTAATATTTTAGTGATCTCATTATTTACATTTCAATTTTACATCTACTTATATTCTTTTTTGGTGTGATACAAGGTGAGGCAATAAGTTAGCTTTTTAGTTTAAGAAAGTATAGCACTATTGATTAATCTATCCTTTCCTTCCTGGTGCTTTTTATAATGTTTCCTTTATTTGTGGTGATTCTCTCTAAGGGAAGAAAATATATCAATTACCTAAGAAGCTTTGTAATATTCTAGCACATCTTGACTTACAGAATCTTAGGTCTCCCTCTGATTTGTTCCTGCCCTGACTCTTTTGAGAGCTATTAATATGTCATATACTCTTCTCATATGTCATCTAGGGTCTACAAAGAGATGTGTACTCTGTCCCACTGATTAGTTTATCTTTTCATCTGCTCTTCAATGTTTTTCTTATTGAAGGATAAGAATATATTTTAATATCTGGTAAAGTAAGTTTCCATTACACAGGTTAAATATTCCTTATCTGGGATGTTTGGACAAGAAGTGTTTTGGATCATAGAAGTGTTTTTCTGATTCAGGAATATCTGCAGAGACTTTACCATTTGAGCATCCCTAACCTAAAAATCCAAAATCTGAAACTTAAAAATGTTTCAGAGTTTCAGGGCTGGGGCGTAGCCCAGTGGTAGAGCACTTGGCTAGCATGTGCCAGATCCTAGTTTCTATCCCCAGTATTGACCCAAAAAAAACTTTCAGATTTTGAAACATTTGGGATTTCAGCTTTTCAGATTAGGGATGTTCAACAAGTACTTCAAATACTAAAAATTAATTAGCTCATTAACATGTTTCTGCAGCATCCAGGTTGCTTGTTCAGAGAACTCTATTTCATGTTGTTTTTCTCTTATGAATAATTTTCAATAATGCCAAAGTTCAAATAGTTGCAATTATATCAGTTCTATTTTTATATCGCAGGACTAATCCATTTTTAAAAGTTGAAAATAAAACCTTGAGCCTGAGTATAGTGGTACACGCCTGTAATCACGGTGGCTCAGGAGCCTAAGGCAGTAGAACCATGAGTTCAGAGCCAGCCTTAGCAACTTAGTGAGGCCCTAAGAAATTTAGCAAGACCCTGTCTCTAGACAAAAAAGGGCTGGGAATGTGGCTCAGGGATTAAACACCCCTGAGTTCAATGCCTGGTACCAAAAGAAAAAAGAAAGAAAGAAACTCTTCTGTGCTGGAAGAGAACTGTCTTTTTCTACCAATAGGATGGGGGAAAGTCAACCACCCTCAAACCTGGTTTCACACAGAAGACATTCCAAAACTAACAGCAGTACTCAGCATTGAGGTCTTACTCTGGTAGGCAGGTGGTTCATCTTGCCCTTGTTTGGTTTTGCATATGTGAGATGTTATTTAGAAACTTGTTTTGAAGGTCTTTTGCAAGGTGAAAGTATGTATATATTTCCGAATTTCCCTTTTTGGTTTGTTTTTTAGCACTGAACCTTGGGTTGGGGGAGGTAAGAACAGTGTTTCCTGCTTACATACACCAATGTTCAGTAGGAAATAAAAAGATTTTATGCAATAAATAGCCCTATATTTGGTGAGTCAGTAGCATACTTTTCTAAAAACTAATATTTCTATCAGTAAACAACCCATGATAAGGTTACAGACAGATGGACTTTCATCAAAATTTATTTTATTGAAAATAATATTATAGCAAGAATTAACTCAATAAGCTTTATAAAAAAATTTTTTAAGAATGCCAGTGTGGGGGCTGGGGTTGTGGCTAGTGGTAGAGCGCCTGCCTAGCACATGAAAGACCCTGGGTTCGATATTCCGCACCATGTAAAAATAAATAAATAAAGGTATTGTGTCCAACTACAACTAAAAAATAAATATTAAAAAGAAAAGAATGTCACTGTCAGGGCTGAGGTTCTGGCTCAGTGGAAGAGCACTTGCCTAGCATGTGTGATGCACTGGGTTCGATTCTCAGCCTCACATACAAATAAACAAAATAAAGGTCCATCAACAACTAAAAAGTATTTTTTTAAGAAAATCATTAAAATAGAATGCCACTGTGTAAGGCTTAGGGATTAGTATAGTCATCTCACTTAATAATTAGATAGCTTCTAGAACTGAATGTATTTATAGTTTAATGTTCCTTAGAACATTATATTATATTATATTATATTATAATATTATTATAATATAATATATAATATATATATTATATTATAATATAATTATATTATATATTATATAATATATAATATATATTATATTATATTATAATTTAACCATTCAAATTGTGTGTTTTGAATAGAGACATGTTAAGGATACAAAATGTTTACCAATAATGTCAAATGAATTTTTAATTTCAAGGACATGAGGGAAGATCAAAGTTTCCCAAATCATACAAACCGAAGTGCTGAATTTCATTTAGATGGCATGTATTAACATTGTCAGGCCAAAGTAATTAAAATAATTTAATTACTTTTTTTTCTGGGCCACTAATTTTTCTGCAGATTTTAATTTTTATCTGTAAACGTAGCTTGTTTTTAAGTATATTTTTTTTGCTATGGCCTATTCTCTCTTCAACAAGTTGTGCACTTTACTGAAATAAGGTTAACTCACACACTGAACAAAAGCCAAATCTCGTTAAAATAAATTCAGCTCTACAAAAAGCCTCCATGTTCTTAAACTCTGATTTCCCAGCCAGTGGCCTAACTTGAGTTTTAAGAAGTAATCTAACAAAAATTTCATATTCTGTGACAGAAACTTACAAATGGACCCTTAGAATTTATCATTAACACACTTTTACATATTGATTCAATGGCACTTTGGCTTGGTGGGTAGCCAAAGACCTTGACAAATGCTGGACAAACTGTCGAGGAGATTTGCCTAATGACACCTCCCAGGGTAGAAATTGTATAATATTCTATGTAGCTATACCCATGTAGATTGACTAGGAAAAAAGCTAAGGAATACTCAGTTTTTGCTGCTTTTTTTTAAACACCCTTTCCTTCCCTTTCTCCATGTCTTCTTCATTCATCTACCCATCCTTTCATCCCTTCATTCATTCAGTTATTCAATAAAAATATATTGATTTCCTATGTGCCAAGTAATATACTAAGCTCTTAAGTTGCTGAGGCTGACCTTAAACTTATGATCCTCCTACCTCAGCCTCCCCAGTAGCTGGGATCACAGGCATTCACTGCCACATATGGATTACTTCTTTTAATACAAATCTCTAGGGTTTCTTTTATTATCTTGAATCTTTAATTTTGTACCTTACATAAATCATCATGTGATACATACCCTTTTGCAATTTTGTATGGTTTTTTTCTCACTCAACATTATTTTTGAGATTTCTCCATGTTGATGCATGTGGATATAGTTCATGGCATTGAGGTTCTATATGGTTCTCCATGTTGGTAATGAACCACAGTTTGCTTCTTCATACTTTTCTTCATACATACTTGTTTCCAGTTTTTTGTTGTTGTTGTTGTTTGTTTGTTTGTTTGTTTGTTTGTTTTTGTGTATGTGTGGTTCTGGGGATTGAACCCAGGGTCTTTTGCATGTGAGGTAAGCACTCTACCAACTGAGCTATATTCCTAGCCCTCCTGTTTTTTAATATTATAAAGAGTACTTAGTGCACCGAGCATCACTACATGTGCCTTGCATACGAATTTGAGTGATTCTGGAAGACACGTACCTTGTGGTGAACTTTCTGGATGTATTCACATCTTTGATTTGATCCAACCAAAGTGTGACTGAGATGGCTGAATCATTTTTAAGTAAGGTGCAGTTTTTTAAAAATATATATTTTTAGTTTTAGGTGGACACAATACCTTTATTTTATTTTTTTCTATGTGGTGCTGAGGATTGAACCCAGTGCCTCATACATGGTAGGCAAGCATTCTTCCACTGAGACCCAGCCCCAGCCCAAGGTACAGTTTCGAATCCTTTTGCTAGGCTATTAAATTCATCGCTTATCTGTTTAATTTTTACTGTCTGGCATCTGAATTCTTTCCATTTTGTTCTAAGCAGTGATAGATAGTGGGTGATCTCATTTTTATTAGAATTTTATTATCATTTCATCTGTTAATAGAACTTTAGGCAAAATGAATATAGAAGCAAATTATACAAGCTTTTATAATGATACACAAGCATATATTTTCTGACATTTTCAGTCAATCCTAAAATCACTTAACTTATTTGGAAACAAAATTTAAATTAGTATCAAGTGCTTCATTTTAGTAACTACTTTAATGACTTGAGAAACTATGCTATTTGTTTTAGTAATTCCATTGTTAAAGCCATGAGTTTCATATAACTTTATAATCCATTGTTAAGAATGTTAGCTTAACAGTATACTTTGAGAGAATTTTACATACAGTTTATAAACTTCTCTTTGCCTTGAGACATTTTACAAGTAAGCAAGTGAAATATCACAAATGCAAACAGAGATTTGAGAAGGCTTGAGTTTTCTAAATGCAAGGGCTTTGTTTCATACGTTTTTAGATTTTCATGGAATTAAGAGGCTGGATAGTTATCAATCTTTCCAGTATGTTCACCTTAAGTACTTTTAGAGCTGTACATTATCTTAGCTGCCACAGATGTCTCATGCAGGGAGTATCCTGGCTTAAATTCTGAAGTGCTTTCACTTCTGCTTGCTTCCCCTTGAAATCGTCTAAAAAGAAGGTGACACATTATTTTGCGAATATTACTGGACATCAGGAAATACATGACTGGATCCAAGCAGCTATTGAAAGACGACAGAACAAGCATGATCTCATTGGTTTTGTGAACAATCTCCTTCCAATTGCAAGATGATACATTGATCTGGGAAGAAATGTAGATGAATCGAAAAGCATGATAGGGGACAAAACAGAGAGTAAAAATTATCAGTACAATAAAGGAATTCCGGGCTGTGGTGGCATATTTACCCGAATTAGGAAATTTGGACCTCTTTTTAGAAATCCTCAATAGATTCTTGCCAATCTTAATATACGAAAGGATTATTAGTAGGAAAATGAGCCAGAACATTATCACAAGAACAAAGTTAAAAATGGCCTCTCCTTTAGCATTGTGCCTATCTCTATAATGGAAACACATTGTGGAATTGTGCCCTCCCTTCTTAAGTGTTAAAACAATCATAGTTAAAAATCCAGCAAGAGCAACTATCCACACTATACAGCAAACATAAATACTTTGTCTGGTTGTTATTGCCCTGCGTTGTTGTAGAGACCGATTAATTTTTATGTAGCGATCCAAACTGATGAATCCAAGCAAAATAATACTAATGTACATATTCATATAAAATAGTGTTCCCACAACCTTGCAAAAAACCACACCTAATGTCCATTTGTTTTGGTTAATGTGATACATTATTCGGAAAGGGAGGCAGAAGATGAGCAGAAGGTCTGCAATGGCGACATTAAGTAGGTAAATATGAATGGAATTTCTCTTGCGGTGGATGCCGAGAAACACATAGAGGGCAATTATGTTTCCAACCAATCCCACGATGAAGATCACAGAATAGAATGTTGTTAACACAGTGGATAGTAAGTTTTCATCCATGGAACAGCTTGTAACGTTTGGTGGTCTTGACACATTTTGTGGTACTTGGTCACTATAATTAGTTATAAAGCTTGTTCCCTGGGAGGAGCAAGACCAGCTGCCAACTGAAGTAGTTGTCATTGTTAAGTTGTGACTTCTTCTTGTCTTCTGTGGGGATCAAAAACGGGTGCTAAATGACATGTTCCTTGTGTGTAGTTCCTATGTCTTCAGATTTTTTCCTACAAGAGAATACCAAACATTGAGTCATTCGCTATTTTATTCTTTTTTACTCTGAACATTTTTTATTTGTTCTTTTTAATTATCCATGACAGAGTATTTTGATATTATACATCAAGTCTAACTTCCCATTCTTGTGGTTCATTTGCTATTTTAATGACAGTAACTTTAACTCAAAGCATAAGTAATAAATTATTTCTTTTCAGATATTGTGAGAAATGTTACTATTTTCCTACCTTTGAACCATTTAGCTTTCTACACAATATATCTACACCATATATCTATAGTATTGTTGTCTCACAAAACAGTCAGCAAACTTAGGATCTCATGGAGCATCCTGCTCGAAACTTCCCTACAGCTTTCTCATTTTTCTCAGAGTTTGTTTCATTTATTATATTAAAATGAAAATAAGAACATCCTTTCTTAGGGAGACTGTTATAGGATTAGGGGTGGAGGTCAAGGGAGATGACAGATCATGTTGATGCTCAAAGATGAGCATCGATTTCCCTAAATGTGGTTATAGCCATGAGTAAACTGGGCCCACTGTAGGCCCTGCCCAGCTTCAGAACTGCTTCCTGCCTTGGCCCTTCCTCTCAGATGTGGCATTCATCATTATGACACATAGTGCCACATGGTGTGTGATGGTAAACTGTAATGATCTCTCATGCGATGGTAGGAATAGAGGATCCTAAATTTCTACCTTCTCAACCCAAGACCAAGGTAGGAATATTAACATCATAAGCCTAGAGGAACATGCAGTTAACATAACAGACCAAAAAAGCCAGCACCTGTCTCCTTACATAAACTCACATAACACTGATCAAGAGAACAAAGTAGTCAAACCAAACCAAATCAGATGGCAGCAACCATTAGCCCTTTTGAACTGCAAGCACAAAAGGGATAATGTAGATGGGAAACAGAATGCACAGTCCAAAATTTTGAAAGTAACTGACTGAAGTTTAAATATGCCCTGGGTTATATAATTTGAGACTGTTGCTAGAACCTTATGAGACATAGTATGTGATGGCCCATGCCTATAATCTCAGCTACCTGGGAGGCTGAGGCACGAGGATGCCAAGTTCGAGACCAGCCTGGGAAACTGAGTGAGATCTTGTCTCCAAATAAAACTTAAAAAGGGTTGAGATGTAGCTCAGTGACCAAGCACTTGCTTAATTTTCATGAAGGCCCACGTTCAATCCCTAGTACCACAGAAAGATTAAAAAAAAAAATAGGTAGCATGTTTGTGGCAGTGGAGAATGTTCTACTTGTTACTGGATGTTTTCTGTCATTTGACTGCTATGAAGAACTCAGTCTGAAACCCTGTTATAAAGTGCTGGAAGACATAAGGAGCAGGTTCCAAAAAGTCTCATCCTATTCCTTTCTCAGGGTGACTGCTCTGTTTCTCCACAGCTGCCTGTTATCAGGGGTAATATAAAGACATTCAGAGCAGGATTTTCAAACTCAGACCTAACTCACTCTGTGATCAAGGGCAAATAATCTTTTCTTGCATTTGTAAAAATGAAAAATACATATGATGAAGTTCATCCTGGCACATAACAAGTGTTCAATTAAAAGTGAGGTTTGAAGCTGGGGATATATCTCAGTGGTAGTGTGCTTGCCTAGCATGTGGGAGTTCCTGAGTTTCATCCCCAGCCTCACACATACACACATACACACACACACATGCACACACATACACAGTTAGCTTTAAAAAAAATCTTTTGATTAATCTCATTTTAGTAATTATTTTCCACTTAGCTAAATACTGCTTGGAAAATGAAGGCAAGACAGGGACCCTGCCCTCATTCAACTTTTTGCAGGAGTGTGCATTCAAACCCTGAAGACAATAAAACAAATTGGATTTTAATCACGATCATTAATTTCTTGATTTGATATTATGCACAAAGAAAAATAGTTGGAAGATTGTAGTCTTTCTTTTGATCAAGAAGAAACCACTTTGGTAGAGGGTTAACATTCGTGTTTAAAATCTTATAAAGCAGGGAGGGAGTTGACTCTAAGGAAGAGGAACTGGCTGGTGAAGAGGAAGTTCCTGTAAGCCCTAGTGGGAGCCTGTCTCCCAAGCTTAGGGCAGTGGAGGGAGAAGAGCAGAAGGAAGGGAGAAAGGAAGGAAGCACGGAAGACTGAGTCGTCTGTCCTGTTTCTTGACTGCAGAAAGATAGATTTCACAAAGTTTGTAGAAATTTATAGGCATGTTCCTTGGGATGTGACAGCCTAAGAAGAGAGACAAGCTGCCCAAAATGAAACTGATAATGTAATCTGCATTACCAAGAAGAGGAAAAGGGTGTGTGTAGACCAAACTGGGTTATGTGGTCACACAGGGAGCTACTGTCAAGAGGTTCAGATAGAAACATGTTATCCCCTGGTGAAAGGACAATGACACAGGAAATGATGAGTTTTGAGAGTTCAGGTAGCTGAAATGACTTGAAAACCTCATCTGTAATTAGTTTCTATTTTCTTCCATGCTAGATTTTAAACCCCAATAGGATTAAGAACAAGTCTGTTTTATTTTCCTCTGTGTACTAAGTGCTTAGCTCAATAAGTATTGTTGAATCAAAGAGGGAATTGATTGAATGTAAAGTTCTGTATGTGCATATTAAAATCAAAAGCACAAGTACTGCCAGGACTTTTCACTGCACTAACAGAAACACAGTTGCATTTGCTGAATCAGTGAGCAATGCCCCTGCAACAAAAATAACTCCATCTTTAGTTGAATTCTAGATATAAACTGTCTTCAATGAAGATTATTACTACTGATCTGGTTCTGTCCCAAGCTGATAGGGTCTCCCCTGAAATGCAGTTTTTGAGCATCCTCAGCAGCACACTTAGGAAAAGCCACTGACCAGATGGGGAGAAGAGGAATTCAAATCATGTCATGGAAACAAATTGAAAGAAGTAGGTACCCTGCCTTGCAGACGGGAGCATTTCACAAGGCCATGGAGAAAAGGCTTTCATCTTATTACCTGAAAGCAGAGCAGGGATCTGTGATAGAAATAATAGAAACGTATGTTGCCTCCTCGTAAGGAAATGTTTTTTTAGAATGAAAAATGGTCTATTTTGGGAGGCAAGAAGGAACTTACTGCCACCCTTTGGGCACTTTTTTAGAAGGGATTCTTAGTGGTACTCAATCCTGGCTGCATATGAGAATCCCCTTGAGGACTTTTTTAACTTTGATTTATATGTATATATATTTTTATGTGGTGCTGAGGATAGAACCTGGTGCTTCATACATGCTAGTCAGTGCTCTACCCGTCAGCCACAACCCCAGCCCCACTTGAGGACCTTTAAAAGATACCGATGCCTGGCTCCTTCCCCAGATATTCTGATGTAATTGGACCAGAATGTGCTTCAGGAATTGGTTTCCTTTAAAAACTACTGTGGGCCCAGACAGGGTGGCACACTCCTGTAATCCCAGCAGCTTGGGAGGGTGAGGCAGGAGGATCTTGAGTTCAAAGCCAGCCTCAGCAACTTAGTGAGACC